AGAACATTTCCACACAACATAAATGCCAAGCTTTTATAACATTGAGTGACATGAATATAATTTTTCTTTATCGACACCATCACCGTTATACTTGGAAATCAATAGTTAACTATAAAAATCTCCACAAAAAAACATTTTCACCAAATGCTTAATAAGTTCAAATCAAGAATAATGGGAAAACTTTGAAGCTTGTAATGTTTTTTATTCAAAAATTGGTTATCAATATAAAAAACAGTTTCCTGCGTAGCTAGTGTGAAAAGAAGCATATATCGCATAAGTCGACGATTTCGAATAAATCATCACATGAGACCTCAGATTCACAATAGATAATCATGTTTTCAGTTATACTGAATCACACAGAAGTAATAGTCAGTGCAAGTTGAGTCAAAAAGTCCTACATGTTGCCACATTATAGAACCTCATCCCCTTTGTCAGCCCTCAAAACTTTAACTTTTCAGATTTTCTTTTTATGAAAATTGAATTTCACAATTCTTGTGGGGGAATCATAAATATCTTCACAAATGTTAACTGATGTATAATTTTGTATATTCAGCAATAAACAAACAGAGTTGTGAGGGGTACTATAGTTATGAACTAAAGATAGTAAATCATTCTTATGTTTATGCTGGTACTGTATGTATTCAGTAACAAAATAATTTTCTCATGTCGAATAATTTCATTTCATCAAATAGTAAATTCGTAGGTGTATTTTAAGAATGTATTATTGTATACTTTTCAGTTTTTGTAAGTGTACATTCAAACCACCTCCCTCCTCCCATGCTAATATTTTTTACCAAAGATACGTTTATATACTAATGCATAATGAAGGGTTTTGAGTTGTTTCAATCCTAAGTATTAAGAAACATATCTGAATTTTGGTAGGATACTTCTTATCATTCTAGTGACATAATCGAGATGTGTATTCCTTTTGAAGTGACTGTCGATATACATACCAATAGATATTTGATATTTTCTGTCTCAGTTATAGCATAGATTAATTAATCTATGGTTATAGTGATGTTAGTGTCAACAAAATCTTCTGTGAATGAATTGAAATTTTGTTGGTATTTCTTGTACGAAGAAAAGGCACTGTTAATAGTTACTGCTGAACCATTCGATAATACTTTTGGAATCCATTTATGCCTTTTCCTCTGCTTTCTCTCAATTTTATTATTGGTAAATCATAGCTGTATCATCTGCAACCCTAATATTCTACTCCTACTTCTGAGTTTGCACATATTATTTATATTTCTTCATAGTAACCCATTTCCAGTGATTTGATAAGGGTTGAGAGGTCTTAGTTGTAGACTCCATACGTGGATATGTTCATTCGTCTGAGATAACGAAGAGACATCTGTTTCCCTAGGTACACACCACATTCTAGGGATTTATAGGGATTTTCTTTCGTGCGCTCCATGCGTCAAAAAAAGACTCTGACAAATAAAAAACATATCATGTCCATACTCATAGTTATGGTTATGTTTATTGACGAGGATATCAAGATAATATTAATCATTGATATCTTGTTATTGGTAAATTTTCATTACCTATATATGTTTCCAAAAAAGTGTCTTGGTAATTAAAATTGTTATAAATTTGTTTTTTGTTTTGTTCTAAAGGAATCAAGATGTAATAATTTTCAGAAATTTCGATAAACCATCGTTTTATCAGGATATTGTGTGACTGTTATTTCAACTGAATTTAATACTTTTAGTTCCCTTTATATTGGTTGGCGTGACACCTTGTAGTTTGTATGGGAATGAATTATCTGAGTGAAAAATATTAATAAGCTGTTGATGGCCTTTTTACGATGATACCACCTATTATTTTGTTATGTCATGTTATGTGGAACAGCAGCGTAGTTAACAATCATGCTATGATATTCATTAGTAAATGAGTTCCATCCATCTTTGTGACCTGAAGAGATCATATTTTCGAAATCTTTCAACAATTGAAACACTGATTCGAGATAACAAGCTAACCCGATCTATGCTCCCCAACTCATTATTTTAGTTTTTCGCTATAGACTGGCTCAGAATCAAAACTTCAAACTTTGATCCAAGCTCATTATCATCCAGCGCATTTTTCTTATAGCTGATGGAATATCTCAACTATTCATCGGTAGTTCTCCATACCCAACAATATGGCCTTCCGTTAAAATTCATGAAAAGCCTGAGAAGAATCGGAAAAGTCCCATAATAGTTATGAGAGGAAGTTTTAATTATATGCCCACGAAACTTCCCAACTACCGAAGACTCTAAGGCGGAATGTTTTATATTCAACAGTTATTTTATATTCATAAAAATCCCGACTGTGAATAGGAAAACTCCCTTTTAATGGCTGCGGTCACGCGGTACATGCATAAAATTAAGGGCTACATGATCATAAACAATTTGTGTAGAATGCAATTTGCTCGGATTTATCGGAGGTGACATGTAGTCTACAATGTCACGCGGGGAATTCTGCCCATATACCTGAGCTTCATTTACATATTCAAATGTCTGCAAATACACCATCCTTCGAATATTCAAGAAGAGCCATTTTCTAGTCTCGAAGAAGTTTGAACTTCATACACATTCCATCGCACGCTCGCTGGGTTCATCAGTAGTGATTCACACGAGACCAACGAGACGAGACTTTTATAGAGTCTCGTCTTGTCTCGCCGATGAAATATAAAGTCTTGTCTCGAGTCTCGTCTCGCAGCCTCTAGTCTCGTCTTGCGTCTCGTACGAGAGTCTCGCAAAGGTATCTAGTGATTCACACGAGACCAACGAGACGAGTCTCGTCTCGTCTCGCCGATGAAATATGAAGTCTTGTCTCGAGTCTCGTCTTGCAGCCCTGAGTCTCGTCTTATCTTGCGTCTCGTACGAGAGTCTCGCAAATGTATCGCAATTTTGTCATACGTAATCTAGTTCCAGTTTATCACGGGATATTCACTTCTACCTACTTTTTAGGAAGGGAAAATCACAACAAAAATAACATTATTTATTGAAAAGTAAGTACATAATAGGTACATCATACAGCCAAACAAGAAAAAGGAACATAGCATTATATATTCGAAAGTTATGAAAATAAAATAAAAAGTAACACGTATATTCTAAACAAATAAACAAAACAAAAACTTGAATCCAACATTATTCCGCCGTTAGGGAGAGAATAGTCCTTTTTCGTTTCACGCATTACTTCGTTCTTCAACAATCACGGATTGTCTATTTGAAGTACCTATTTATGAATTAAATGTTTTGTCTCTCTGTGCAAGATAGTCTGAATTCTTTCGAAATATGTTGTAATATGAATGAAAATCACAAGTCTGCAGTCGGCACGCAGAAATATTTACCTGCGAGACTCTCGCACGAGACACGAGAAGTCGCGCACGAGACTCGAGACGAGACCAATAAAAGTCTCGTCTCGTCTTGTCCGAGTCTCGTCTCGAGTCTTGTCTCGAAAACGAGTCGAGACCATGCGAGACTCTCGAAAACGAGACTCTCGCGGGCACCACTATTCATCATAGGAGAAACTGAAATCCTACTTTTCTTACGAGCGTGCGGAAAAGTAGATTTTCCGCATGATTTTTTGTTTTGAAAGTTATACTCCTCCGTACGATTTTACTTCACTTTTACTGCATTATTTTCACTTTTCCGCACGATTCCGAAGAAAATACCAGGAGACATGTGGTGATAACTGTTGGCACCAGAACGTACCCATAGCAACAGCATAAACGTATTAATAATCAATACGGATAATCTCTATCTGTTTCCATAGCGAAACATGAAGCCGATTTTTGAAGACAAATGACTATTCATAAGGAAAAGTTTTGAAACGATCAGACACATACTGCTTTGATTGAAAGGCTAGTAAACGTCATTGTCCACCGAAACGCATGTCTTTGATGACTACTATAATAGCGCATGGCGCATGCGTATCATGATACCAAATCCTTATGGATATTCATTTGTTTCATATTTTTGGCTTCATCCTGACACCCGTTATGATCCGTATTGTTTATTAATACGTATATGAGCAACAGTCGCTATAAACTGACACTAGTGGAAGTCAACAAATAAGCATTTCCAGCGTCATTTTTCCATGTACGTGATTCCAATTGGAGATGGACAACTCACGAAACTTTCAAGATCTCCTCTCGGAAATAACTGATGCAAACACTAACCAATCAAATTCAAATAAAAAACGACGTTCCTCAAGATGTTGCGGCATCTGCTTTATAACAGCATGCAACAAACACAAATTGCACTTTCAATATCAATATTTACCATCGTTTCCTATATTATATCGATGAAAAAAAGACTATTCCATAATTTTTCAGTGCATGAAAATATCGTGTGGTGAAGTTATTTTACCACACTAGTGCTGTATAGCAACTTTTCCGCACGATTTTTGTATTGTTGAAAATAAAGATATTTAGGACTAACTAAATGACTATTCTGTCTCATGTGTCATTTTGTAGCATCATTATTAAATATTGTTCATTAAAAACCTTCTTTTTCATGATAATATGGACAAAAACACTCGTGGAAAAAACTTTGTACCTAACTCTTGCTGAAAATGTCTTTTCCGCCCTTGACGACTTGCCCGAACTCTGTTTCGTGTCGTTCGTGCAACTGCCGTCGCGTGTGGAAAAGTACTACTTTCCGAACTTGTTAGGTAAATAACATTTACCTACTACCAATAAGTAATATGGAACATTACAACACTGATTTGCCGTGCCGTGTCGTGCTAGTTTGTGATAGATAATATAAAACATACCTCAATGTTCCTACTACTGAGTGAATGTTCATATATCCTCAGGCCACGTCGAATACCTACCCTACCTATCCGTATAAAATACACAAGTATCGCGCTCTTCCACGAAAATTATAGGAATTTCCTTTCGTGCGCTTCAAGAGATTGAAATATATATTTATATATACACACGGCTCCATCCAAACATACTCTGGGATACACAAGGCGGTCAAAGTGTTAATCGACTTTTAATTATTTCCAGGTTGGTCGCAATGAAGCTGGCCCTCATCCTGGCGATCTTGTGGCTGAACGAAGCCACCTCCAAAGAAATGCGAGCTAGGAACAGAGCGAAAATCAAAGCTTCCAAACCGAAAAACATGTGCGACTTCGAACCTGCAGACAACAACAACATCCGATGCTTCTGCACCAAAGAGAAGTACCAGACGATCACCTCGGCAGAGTGCTGGTTCTTTGGGCAAGTGGCCAGAGATAACCCCATATGGACGCTGATAGTCGAGTCACAACCCTATCTTGGAGATTTCAAGATCGTAGCCAACAACCAAGGGCAGATCAAGTCCATACCGCTGGATTTTTTGCAGAGGATGGTGTACCTCAAGAATCTTACTGTATCTTACGCCATGATGGATCGTCTGGAAAGATACGCTTTCGGTAACTCTTCCTCCTTGGAGAGCTTGAAGCTGACCAAAAACCAGATAGGGCATCTGGAACCATTTGCGATCGCTTACTTGCCTTCTCTCAAAGAACTCGACTTGGAAGAGAACCGCTTACGGACCATCGGTACTTCTACATTCTTCTACGTACCTCAGCTCAAGTTTGTTCGCCTGAATAACAATAATATCACCAAGGTGGAGAATGAGGCTTTCGCAGCCTTGAGCGGCGTGCTCGAGATGGATCTGTCTGAGAATTATATTTGCGATATCAGTACTGACACTTTTTTCGGTTTGTCCAAGTTGAAAGTGATCGACTTGAGTGTGAACAGGATCATCAGTTTGCCCACATCGGTATTTTCGGAAATGTGGGACGTTGAGGTGAGTGGTTATTCAGAAAGGTAACAATATTTTCCAAGGTGTTGCATGTCATCAGAGGAGATATACTAAAGGGTATACAAGGTGTCTCGGAATAACGTTCGTATACTCCGGAAGGTATTTGACTCAGTTTTGCCCAACTCTTTTTCCAAAATTCCTGATTTCAGTTAGTCAGAATGTGAATAAAATTGGTTCCTTCGAACAGAAGCGTCTGCTCCTGATAACAAGGAATCTCAGAGCGCTTGGGATACTGCTATAATCAGTTCTCTATACTTACAAGTCCTTGAGTGAGCTGTTTCCGGATCTGGCAAGGCTCGTCTCGTATAGCTGCCTGAACAAAAAAATTGAATTCCGCGAATTTTTTTTTATCCAATTGCAACGCACTAGATCTTTTGAAGGAGATTGGCGAAACAATGATGAAATCTACCGATGATCATGGAGCTCATACTTTTCTGGTTCAAAGAATCAGTATAGCAATCCAGAGAGGAAATGCTGCTTCAGGTTTGGGTACAATTGCAATAACTGGAAAACTGGATGATTTTTTTTGCAACCCAACATACTAAATCCCTTGAAGTTTCATAAACCGTCTAAACTGTCCAGCAACCGGAATCAACAACCCTCCTCGAACGTCAGAGATGAATTCATCCTAGATGATGATGTTTCAATCTCATCTACTTCTTCCAAATCAGTTGATGAAACTTCTTCGTCCAACCTCAACCTATCAAAAGCAACTTTGTGCTCATCATCCCGGTTTCCAATTTTCACAAACGTAGTTCCAGTGATGAAGAAGATATTCGACCACGACCAGTTCAGTTCGACAACAGCTGTGTACGGATCTCAATTCACAAGCTCATTGTCAGGACTATCGTCACCACAAGCGAAGATTCTGAGCCTCAAAGGATTGAAGAACATTGGCAACACATGTTCCATGAACAGTGTCATTCAATGCTTATAAAATACCAGGTGGCTGTCGGAGTTTATCAGGAATGATGCCTACATGTCACTCATAAACACCACCACATCCAGCATAGAAGGAGAATTATTCAATGAGTTAGCGAAGGTGATTAAGGAGTTATTACATGATCTAAGGACGCTTTGGAGAACATCTTCAACGCAGCATCCCTGGAACCCAAATCCAACGGTTTGCGCCTCGCTTTATCGGCACATGAGTTCTTATGCTTCCTGCTGAGGGAGCTGAACAAAGACTCTAACAGAATTCCAGATCTTGAGAATCTGAATGTGATGAAAATTGACGAGTTCTCCAGTAGGTAATAACGACAGAGCTTTGAAATCGTGATACATTCCATTGAGCTTTGACGATTCAGAGATGGTTGTTAATTTCGTTAGACAGTTGAAGTTGACATTGGAATGCACATATTGCGCTATAGGCCAAGCAATAGGTAGATTTATCTGGAAAAAAATACAGGAGTTTTGAAAATTTGCAGATCGGTTGATCTTCATGACCCTAATAACACCTCAACTTTGCGACCACGTCATACCGCCGCTGGCGCCGCCATATTGGAAAGATGGTACCCAAAATCAGTTTTTCCATGATATCTCTCTTCCAGTACCTCCTAGGTGAAAAATAGTGCTCATAAAATTTGTAGAGGAGAAAATTCTCTACAACTTTGAATAAATATATTTTTTTGTGCGACCAATGGTTAAGGAGTCACATAGGCATAAGTTATAGCAAATTATTCAACATCGATGATACAATAATGCTTGCGGTCCAGCAGTGCAGTTTTTTCACATATTCAATATTATTAGTTATATTCGTTGCTGAGAAGAACAGAGTGCAACGAATCTTTTGTTTCTATTTGTACAAAGTATATACAATACGTAACAAAATACTATGGTTCAAATTCAATCATTGTATTTGATGGATATCCAGCTGATGCTGCACAAAAAAGCACTAAAAGTGCAGAACGTCTTCTACGATCAAAAAAGTTAACATCTGCGGATATATTGTTTGATGAATCGATGACATACCCACAATCCAGGTTCCTAGCCAATGATCACAACAAGAGTCGTCTTATATCCTTACTGAAAGATAAATTTGAGAAATCAAACTTTACTGTCCATCAGGCCATAGAAGACGCTGACACCTTAATTGTTAGGACAGCAATATCCACAGCATCATCTTCAAACTCTGTGTTTATCGTTGGAGAAGATATCGACCTACTGATACTTTTAGTTGCACTAGGAAATCATCATCCAAATGTTTATTTCTTGAAACCGGGCAAGGGGAAAACTTCAGAAAAGATTTACTCCGTACGAAGTATATATTGTTTTTACACGCCTTTAGTGGATGTGACACAACATCTGCCATTTTCAACCAAGGCAAGAACAAATTTCTCAAGATGCTTATGAAATTCCCGGAATTGAATGAAATTATCGAAGTATTCAAGGATGAAACTGCAGACGCCAACGCAATTGCAGTAGCAGGAGAATATTTCTTGATCAAACTCTATGGAGTATCTCAAAAGGATTCATCTCTGGATTTTCTCCGATATCAGCAGTTTTCGATATCGGCGACAAAGAGTAAGTTCAACCTTGCTTCACTTCCCCCCACAGCAGCAGCGGCAAAACAACATTCATTCCGCACCTATCATCAAGTTCAAGCTTGGTATGGTGTTGAAAAAAACCCGGAAAAATGGGGATGGAAAAGGAGTAAGGTCGGACTCACTGCTGTTAGAACAACCAAAGATCCTGCTCCAGAAGTACTTCTGAAATTAATTTCATGCAAATGTAAAAAAGGATGTGTCTCAGTATGCAGCTGCAGAAAGGCGGGTTTGAATTGTTCGATAATTTGCATGTACTGCACAGGAAATTCTTGCGAAAATATCGCAAACATGTTGATCGACTCTGATGACGAAGACCCAGATGATATCATTCTACTGCCGACATTTGATGTTATAGACGAAGATTCCGGAGAAGATGAATCAGATGCAGAAAACACATACAAAACCAGTGTGAACCCAAGCGAACCTGGTCCATCTAGACTCTAGAGTATTGAGATGAAGCCAGCAATAATAATCGTTTTAGAAACATTGAAATGTGGATTAGGCCTACTGGGGGCACCATAATTAAAAAAACGCGCCATTACTCTACCTCAGGTGGTGTGGAAACGAGTATAAGTAATGATTACTGAATAACTAAACAAATTCTAGCGATAATTGACACTGTAAGGGAAGCATTGTACAATTTTACTAAGATTGCCCTGATTTATATCGATGCAACTCTGGAAATATTAATCCCAGAAAAAAACTTTTCCTACAAAATTTGTAGAGAATTTCACGTTCTACAATTGTTGTAATATCTATTTTTTGTTTATGAAGTACTGAAAAAGAGATATCATGAAAAAACTGATTTTAGGTGCAATTTTTTCAATATGGCGGGGCTAGCGGCGACTTGACGAGGTCGCAAATCATACGCGTAACTGAGGTCACATATATGTACATGACTGCCGAGTTTCAAAACTCCTGTATTTTTTTCCAGGTAAAGCACTTTTGAGTCCCCCATTGCTTGGCCTACTAGTTGTTATGTGAAGTTTGATTCTGTTTGGGAGGTATCACTACGAATTCCTCAAAATATGAGTTAAGTCCGTTTATCAAATTGTTTGGATTTGTTTACCAGCGTGGAGTCCTTGGACGGTAAAGCATTTTCGGACACATGTTTATAGGAATATTTTCTTTTCTAATCTTTATCTGCAGAATCACCTCCCAGAGTATACGAACGTTATTCGGGGACACCCTATAGGTATTTTCCATATGAATCTCCAAACCATCTGATTCTCAGGAACAACTGAAAGTAATAAAATCGTTTCATTGGCTGTCGCGACAAAAGTATGAATAATCGTCCTTGGTACATGATTTGCAAGGGATTTATATCGTCCACGTCAAAAGTTGAAATTGATTTATCCTTGTCTGAATGCAAACAATTCTGTATACGATATTGCAAAAAAAGGTACAATGACTTCGCTTGATCCGCAGAATTATGTTTTTGTAGTGATACATTTTCATCTCGTGGAACAGATCCTATCGAACCTCCCAAAACAAACATTGTGGAATTTGTATACGAGCCTCATATTTTTTCATTGAAGCCAACACAGATCCACTCTGTTGATCTGTTATATCAGGATTTGGAACATAAAACATTTGATCTGTTTGAATTATTGCCAATGAATGTGAAAACAGAGTTGAAAGATTTTCTCATGATGATGGAAATAACAATAATTGAAAGTGTATCCACTATAGTAACATGGTACAGTCGTGAAAAAAAAAACATGATTTTTATTGTAATATTGATACCCTGTATCTCGAAGATAGAGAGTATGTATGCACTCTTCTTCATAAATCAACCACCAAATTTTTGAAAAATATTTTTGAAAATCATCATCAGCCATTTTGTTCTGGATGAATATTTTCGTCTAAAATTCTGGTGTTGTATATAGAGAATTGAAAATTTTTCGACTTCCCATATTTCATTTGAGAGAAAAATACCCATTTCAAGTTATGTAACTACCGTTTGAGCCACAAATATTTGAACAAATCACAGTCGCTCAAAAGTTTACTAGGCGGGGTCACTTCATAGACACAGTCTTCCTCTGTTAATTATTTCACAATCATGTGGAAATGAAACGTATTTTCTCTTCATCATTGCCATATCGATGTCAAACCAAGTAAAATATTCAGTTATTCAGTTGTAGCGAATCACGCGAACTTTTGGAAAATGCAATTGTATTTGTCATCTGAATATTCATATATAGATTCGGAGCAATCAGGAATGATTGAAGCGTTGATTACCCGTCATGACTTCAACTAGTGAGCTGTTGATGATACAACTGACATGCCACATGACATCTGGAAAGAGACTTGGAATCCCACCATGGAATAAATGAAAAAGGCAATCGTGCGTATTTATGCAAATAAAAAGATTAGTTAGAGGAAGGACGCCTATTTTCTGATACGCGGTAGTCAAGGTAACCATCTGACGTTACGATGACATGAAAACAACGGAAAAACATGTCTTTCTCTCAATGTGAGCCAGGAGTTAGGAATGTTTTCCCGGAGTTTTCATGTCATCGAAACGTCATCAGATGATGACCTTGAATACCACGAATAGCTTCTGAAAGTGTTCAACTTTTTTTCTTATCCATATAACACAGGTTGATATGTAATTGATCATGATATAACGAACAAAATATTCATCGTGAAAAAAATTCAGGGAAAAATCAATCTTGTACCCTTAATTTCAGATACCTATGGTTTCCTAATTTCAGATAGGATGGTATCCTAATTTCGGATATCATCGATTACTGACTACTATGAAAAATCAGTCGTCATAACTTGGAAGTGGCCGTAAATACAGGAGGAGTCAGTGTTTTCTAGCAGGACGTCAACAGCTGAGAGAATACGGGAATGGCAATCCCGAGGTACCTCAGCCGAACACTCATCAATCTTCAACTTGTCTTTGGTGGTATCCTCTTCACTCTTCAATCTCAAGATTTTGTGTCGGCCTCTCTTGGTCAATTCTTCTTTTTTTCCTTTTCCCTTTCCCCTGAAGCTCAACCTTACCATAGTGCAGGGAGGCCAAGCCGCGGCTGCTTGGCAGATTGAGTATTTTGGGAACATATTGGCTGTAATCATTCAGATGGGACAGTTTTGTGGACATCTGAGTGCAAGGATGGGGCAATTTGTGAGCATCTGCTTTTGTGGCCGCGGATTGATAACGAGGCTCTGGCAACCTAATCCAAGTTGTGGGAACCCGTGACGAAGGATGAATAGCACCAAGGTTATATGGTGTCGATAACGAGACCACTGGGAAACAGGGCGACATCTCTGAGTAAACAGCCTTAGCCCTGTTCAACTGTTGACCTTCTTCATGGACGAGACCAGGGCTGGAAAGAGTACTCTTCAGGAACCTGAATGCAAAGGGTCTCTCAAACGAACCTCTGCTATTATGAGCAGCAATGCTCACAGTTACTTTGCCGGCATTTGAAGTGGCCCTTATATAAGGACCATGGGTCGTAATGGTGAAATCAATAACGGCATATTCGAGGTACAATGGTAGAGTGGTACAATGGGCCAACAGGCCTAGGTGTCATCGGAGACGAGCCTTGAAAGGAAGTGGAGTGTTTTGTGGGTACACCTAGGTAGCTATTTCCACACTACCATGAAAGGAATGGTCCTTCGTGGTGTCCATAAAGGATTTGACCACCTCCTGAAACAAAATCTTCCTTTGGAAACGCAGTATTTGGGGCTATCAAGGGTTCTTGAATACCTATACAGGATGATGTGAATGAATGATGAACATCGACTTAGATATTTCTTGCTCCATTTTGTATTTTTCGGAAACTGTGAAATTTACTTGTAGTAAAACTTCATTTTTCGAGTCCGCATTTTGTAGCATGATTTGAACAGCTTGAGAAACATTTTTTCAAGATGAAAACCTCATGTGAATTTATCGATATACAGGGTGTCAGTGTTTGAAGTTTTTCTTGCGTTTCTCAAGTTTTCTCCTACATTTCTGAAAATAATGAGGCTATCGACCGTTCTTGAATACCTATTACATAAAGATACACCTTTGGGGTGTTGCAAACTTCGAAACCATGTATATCGGAAACGAAGCTTCCACGCATATTATGTTTATATGAGATTTTCATCTTGAAAAAATGTCTCCTTCAAGCTGCTGAAGTCCTGCTACAAAAAACTGACTCAGCCTGTATATGTAGTTTTCTAATTTGTTGCGTATATCCGAGAATGTGAACTCTCATGTATCCGAAATAAGTAATTTTTAACTATAAGGATAGTTTTCTGGTAACGTCCATAATTTGTGGTTAAATGTTATTTCAGCATTTGGATATCATGAGATAGTTAGTATACATACGTAGGTATAGCCAAGTTGATAACAAATATTCCACTTCTTTACTACCAAAAACTGCAATCGAATAGCACACAAAATGAACCAAGAAGTATATGACATACTGTTATATTTTCATCATTTGGCCATCTAGTGGGAGTTTTTAAAAATATCGAAACATACAGAGAAGGTCAAAACAGATTTGGTATTAACAGTCCAGCACGAAATTCGAATAGTTTTGAAGGGACGTCACTATTCGAAACGTGGCCCCTATTCGAAAATAGGAGACCATCCTCTATAAACTATGCATTTTTCAATTGTAACTCTTGGTTTGAGAATGAAGGCACCTTATATGAGTAGATCGGGCTTCAAAATTCAAAATTCACAGAACCCTTTAGCATTTCAATCAAAACGAACGGCACTATCAAAAAAGATGTGTGTCTCTGAAGAACTGAGACACGCTGTATCTACCTGAATCCAGAGTGATCCGTTAGGATAAAATTATTCCGTACCTGTATCGTGATTTTCGTGGACTATAACATCTCAAAGATCTCAATAAGTTACCGTAATATATCATGAACTGGAACAATGAATTTTCTCTTATGACGTGGCTCCGCGCGTGAGGTCAAGTTAACAACATCCTTTGAGCTCGGAAAATTGATAAATGAGCCTGACTCAACTAAACAGAAACTTCTACCTCATTTCGTCCGAGCTGATATAATTCATTACATCCCTCAGTTGACGATATAACGCTTTATTGATTCGAATCGTACGGTATATAATCAGTTGCAGCTTCTAGCTGTCTAGTTTCTATAGGAATATCTCCCGAAGAGATGTAGGGAATGTAAATAAATTGGAATAGGTCATTATTCAGAATCTTCGTTGAAGAATATCAAGATACAGATAAATATTTTTCGATAATTATAACTGTCAATAGAGAAAAAAAAAAACCAAAGTCGTCTCCACAATATTTAATGTATAATCTGGCAGTCAATCCTGCTTCATTAAGGTTGATACATGTTTCGGCCATTCAAATGACCATCTTCAGTCAAAAGAATATAACAAAATGCATCTTCAATAGAAAACCAAACATGATTTTATATATAAGAAA